GCATGCAGTCTGAGATATGTTTTATTGTTGCGCAATGCATGCAGTCTGAGATATGTTTTTTGTTGTGCAATGCATGCAGTCAGAGATATGTTACGAAAGCCAGCCTTCATAGAAGGCGCTAGCGGAGTTGTGTTTGGCGAACGAAGTGAGTAGTTAGGGGGTCTGCGGGGGGTGGCCCGCAAAAGGTACACGTAAACTCGGCACATGCTGGGGGAGGAGGGTTCGTCGAGGGAAGGTTTTTGGAGGCTGTGTTGGAGGTGATTTTTGAGGGGTGGTGATGCAAGAAATGCAATTTGCATCATTTGCATCATCTGAATGGAAAGGTATAGAGACGCTATAGTGCAGCTAGCAGGTATAGTACTTCAAGTTCCCTTTCCGTCAACCGCTCGATAACCTCTACACACGCACAGCAATCCACAGCTTTGAAGCCTCATTCTCGCGATACCTGGGAACAGAATTGTAGCTACCGTGGGTCCGTATGAATGCTATGTTGCTATACCTCTTATACACCTATACCAGTTCAAAGCACGAATGAGACTTCCTAGCTGTGGTTTGCTGTGCATGTGTGGCTCGAGAAAGATATACGTAAACTCTGGAAGGTGATGCTTTGATGCTTTTGGAGTGGGTGGTGACCCTTCAATAGGAACTCGAGTCGAACAGCTCAAATCCAGAAGATTCTGAAAACGGCCTGGCTCCCTATATGAACCCTGGGACGACTGGGGAGCGAGGATGTGGCGCTTCGCAGACCTTCATTTTCAAGGTGGCCTGAACAGAGTGCTTTAGGGCAGCAAACCCTGGTCTCAGGCCACCTTGAATTTAGCTTGAAAACCACAGCTTTGAAGCCTCATGCGCGCGATACCTGGGAACAGAATTGTAGCTACCCTGGGTCCGTATAAATGCTATGTTGCTATACCTCTTACACACCTATACAAGTTCAAAGCACGAATGAGACTTCAAAGCTGTGGTTTGCTGTGCATGTGTGGCTCGAGAAAGATTTACGTAAACTCTGGGGGGTGATGCTTTGATGCTTTTGGAGCGGGTGGTGACGCACTCGCCAACTATACCCTTCAATAGGAACTCGAACACCTCAAATCCAGAAGATTCTGAAAATGGCCTGGCTCCCCACAATGTGCATCCTTTGCTCTCGCTTCGCAGACCTTCATTTTTAAGGTGGCCTGAACAGAGTGTTTTAGGGCAGCAAACCCTGATCTCAGGCCACTTTGAATTTAGCTTGAAAAACTGTCTGTTTTAACAAAAGCCTTGTCACAGAGACCCCTCATTACCCTTCTTCGCATATTTTCATTTTTGAGGTGGCCTGAACATATAGTTTCGGCAGCGAGCCTCTGGTCCCAGGCCACCTCGAATTTTGGTGCATTGTTTGGCTTTTGCTTCATCTGAATGTGGATGGGAATTATCTATGTGTGAAGTCGGTCGGGGGTCGGGGGGGGGGTGGCCCGAGAAAGGTATACGTAAACTCTTGGAGAAAGATATACGTAAACTCTGGGGGGTGATGCTTTGATGCTTTTTGGAGCGGGTGGTGACGTACTCGCCAACTATACCCTTCAATAGGAACTCGAACAGCTCAAATCCAGAAGATTCTGAAAATGGCCTGGCTCCCTATATGAACCCTGGGAAGACTGGGAAGCGAAGAGGTGGAAACAGCAGGGAGGTCTTGAACTTTTAAGTAAACAAAAGGCCACATTCAAGCGGCAGAAGGACAATGTGCATCCTCTGCTCTCGCTTCGCAGACCTTCATTTTTAAGGTGGCCTGAACAGAGTGTTTTAGGGCAGCAAACCCTGGCCTCAGGCCACCTTGAATTTAGCTTGAAAAACTGTCTGTTTTAACAAAAGCCTTGTCACAGAGACACCTCAGGACCCTTGCTTCGCATATCTTCATTTCTGAGGTGGCCTGAACATATAGTTCCGGGCAGCGAGCGTCTGGTCCCAGGCCACCTCAAATTTTGGTGCATTGTTTGGCTTTTGCTTCATCTGAATGTGGATGGGAATTATCTATGTGTGAAGTCGGTCGGGGGTCGGGGGGGGTGGCCCGAGAAAGGTATACGTAAACTCTTGGAGGTGATGTTTTAGTGATTTTGGAGCGGGTGGTGATGCAAGAGTGCATCTTTTGCTTTTGCATGGTTACCTATGTGTGGGCAGAACAAGACATGAAGCAGATTTGACACGCGGCCACAAGCGGCTGCGCGAGCTCATTTGATTGCTTCGACGCGCAGTTGTCGAGACAGGGAAGCGCTGGCTTTCGTTTTGCAGCTTCTCAGGTTTTATTGTTGCGCAATGCATGCAGTCTGAGATATGTTTTACTGTTGTGCAATGCAAGGAAGACCTGGAGGCTGGGATGCAAAAAAACGTCGAAAAAAGCAAAATCGCAAGAAAAACACGGCCCACCGGGGGTCGTGGTCCACCTACATACAAGTAGCTACTACTTAGGATGCAGGATAGCTCGCACCAATGATTTGGCTCCTAGATTTTGAGGGAAACGTTTGGATGTGTTGCTCTTTGGTCTTGGCCCCCCTCACACAATAATTCTAGCTCGCTTGTGAGGCGCTTGATGCCCCCGAATGTGTCCACGAATGTGAATCACCCAGTAAACAAACCTCAAAAGAGACAACTTCCGGTTGGAGGCCATCGCTCTTAGGTTGGAGGCCATCGCGGTCGTAGGTTGGAGGCCAAAAAGTGGCCATCGCCTTTAGAAACAAAGCAAAAGAAGAAGAAAAGGAAGAAAGTTTCTATACAGCGATGTTCATAAATAGTTTCTTGCTCCGTTCGTAGGTTGCGGCCAGTTTCGCCCCGGACTCGTGTCGCGTGCTTCTCGTCCCGACTCGTGGTCACGGCAGGAGATGGCGTCGCCCGACTCGGTGAGTCCGGAGCGCCCAGGGGTGGAGACCACGGGGGTCGGAGTTTTCGGGCGATGAAGGCGATGTGAGTGTGGGGGGGCAGCTGAATGAATGTGGGCAGCTGGAGAAGGGAGTTGTTTTGGGAGATTGTTGAAGGTGACTTATGCCTTTGGATGAGGTTTCGAGAGGGTTTTGTGGAGAGGATTTGGATCAATCACACATCGCCTTGTCACATGAGGTGAAGGGCATATCTCCGGGCCCTCCGCGAGTCAATGCAAAGGTTCATCCTATGAAGCTGTCCTGATCTTGGTTCAAACGATTAAAACAAGCACTGCCTCGAAGAAAGGTTGGATTTTGTCAGTTCTCTCTCTACTTGTTCCATTGTTTCTTCTCGCCCAATCCGTGAAATTCGCAGAGCGCAGCAGCGCAGCGGCCCGCTCCAGGTACGGCCGATGCCGACACAGAGCCCACACAGGCGGGTTCCCCATTGGCGGGGCAAGCCAATCATTTCCTAAAACGGGAGGTCCTGTTTTTCGTGTTTTTTGTTTTTCATCAACGGATAGACCAGAATGAAGAAGGTGGATGAAGATAAACCCTGAGTGATGGACCTGCGGTGGTGATAAACCCATGAACTATTTCAGTCTTGGGAAGATTTGGAAGTGATTCACCATCAATTTCTGCTCAGTGAAGATCTGTAAGATGGGTAAGATGGCTGCCATGGCTTCCATGAAGCGCTCGTCGAGTGGGCCAGCAACTTCCCAAGTTTGCCGACACCGTCGGGAGACGGCGTCCTGGAGGGGTTCAGCTGTCTGAAGGCTGTGTTCCACAGCCCTCCACCGTTCAAACCAGAGTTGACGGCGGTGATGGTGCATGGATGGACTCGAATAGCGACGGCCTCCAACCTAGAAGCGATGCCTCCAACCTGATAGCGATGGCCTCCACCCTAATAGCCATAGACAGACTGCCCCAAACATGCACTGGGAAGAGCCAAACTTCGAGAGAATCCTCTCCGTTGCAGGTGCGAGCCTGGCAGCCACTCCAAAAAAGCCCACACCTTCCGGTTACCTACCGGTCTTATGACGCCAGCAGCCCCGTTCGTAGCGGTCCTTGGTAGGTCTCACCGAGCGTCCGACACTTCCAGGCCCTCCCCTTGACGCCCAAGCCCTATGGCGAACGGGTGGACGGGCTGCCCGAGGCGGCACCGACAACCGGCCTGGGATCCGCTGGAACGGATGGTCGTGGGTGTGACACTGCCAGGACGGACTGCCGCCCCAGAAAGACCTCCAAAACGGACTGCCCCCTGGCCGTTTCTGGGTAAATATACCAGTCCCAGACAGGTCGTGTTTGGGTGTTGGTTCTACCGGGTCGACATGTCACCCTTGATCTGTCAGTCGTGATGTTTCAGTTTTTCGGGAGAGAGGTTTTGCACTTGCAACATTGCAAATGTTAGTTTTGTTTTATGAATCAAAGAGTCTACATGATCTACATTACTGACTCATAGCTTCCACCAACACTGGCTGACTGCACAGGGTTTCTTCGGAATTCCGTGTGATGCGCTTTTGACCCGGTCGAACGCGCCTCGTTTTGGTCCTCGTTCGGTATGACCACTCGGAACTCTCCTCAGTCGGTGACGGAGATGAGGGTGAGTGAGGGTAGCAACCACTGCGCAGGGAAGAGAAGTGATTCAGTCCAGTCTGTTTGAGAGATAGAGGACCTAAGTACACGGTGATGTGTCTGAAACAAGGGGTGTTAAAGGCTTGGATAGAAAGCATTGCTCCCAACAGCTAAATGATTATGGAAATGGAAATGGGTTCTTGCTTGTGCACGGTGCCAGTCCACGAAGAAAACCTTTTTGCAGCGGAAGAATTCGCCAAAATTCGCACCAGGACTGGGGAACGGGTGTTGTTCCGGAGTGACACTGCCTCTTGCTTAAGCATGCCTGCTTTGCAGATGAAGAAGCACTCATCTGAAGGGGCCCGGATTCACTTCCGACAGAAAACCCGAACACATGTAATCAGAAGTGAAAAGCATTGCACCATTGTTCTTGATTGTTGTGAACCATCTCAGTTTTCAGAGAGAACCCATACCACCTGACCCCTTCAGGGAAGGGGGAAGCTCTTAGGTTGGAGGCCATCGCTCTCAGGCCGTGGCTCTTAGGTTGGAGGCCATTGCTTCTAGGTTTATGAAAGTATATGTTTAATGTTCTTTGTTCTTGTTCCTAGTAGCTTCTTGTTCCTTATATTATATCGTAAGGCCAGGAGCGCCCCATTCGGTTCGCGTCCTTGTTCCGTTCGTAGGTTGGAGCGTCCACGGTCCCCGCCGCGCCTCACGCCAGGTGCCCAACTTCCCCTTCACGCCTGTGCCGGTGGCGGGCTGCAGCCCGCCGGCCATCTCCATCGCGGAGTCTTTGGGTGGGGAGCACCCAAAGGGACTGTGGATTCACGTGGATTCACTGGGGACTGGGCGGTGGAGGGGTGCGGAAGGCCCCTAGCCCAAAAGATGTTGTTGGATCTGAGAAATCGTGCTTTGCTGGGAGGAAGTGGTTCGTTTCTTTGATGTTTTATGTGTTTTCGGCTTGAAACGAAAAGTAAAGGGCCGAGATCGACGGCCAAGAATGGCTTGAGATCTGTTTGATCGAGTGGGTGGGACCCCAATGCGGCTGGGAAGCGACCTCAATCGTCCGCTTTTGTGGGGTGGAGGACGCTACTAGGGTCTCCTGGCATCGCTACTAGGAACGAAAGGGTAGCTGGTAACCTCTTGAAAGCTGAAGCATTCGTGAAAGTACTTGGACATCACTTGAGGACCGTCCCATCCAGCTGATTTGGTATACGAAAGCTGCTGTACAAATCCTTCAACGAAGCTTGCAGAATTGTGACCATCCATGTGAGGAAACCATCCAAGAAAATCATGTTGCCACCACGCAATCCTTGCGCGAGATCGATGGTGAGTGTATTGCTTCAACCCATCTGCCCAAGCTGACCAGACTTGCCAGACTGCCTCCCCAGACTGCCTAGGTCCCCGGACACCGCAACGGACACCCGTCTCGTTGCTCCAATCCTTGACGCCCTCCGCGGCGGTGCCTCCATCGCCCTTCACGGTCAATGGCTTTGCCAGCCCAGGCCGGGCAGGCTTCTAGGTTGGAGGCCATCGCTCTTATAGGTTGGAGGCCATTGCTATTAACTGTTCAGTTGAATTAGCTATATATTATATTATGTCTTCAGTCTCAGGCAGGGTCCCCAAAACCATCGCTCATCGGTGTGACACCACCGCATGGTCGGTCGCAGGCCTGGTGGCTGGCTGTGGGATTTTCAGCTTTACGCTGCGCAAGGTGCGGCCGCGCGTGACTCGGTGTCCGTCGTGTGATGATTCGTCGTGTGATCGGTGTGTGTGTGTGACCCGAAAGTGACTTGATGTGACATGACAACACTGGGATCTGAATTCTACGAATGTAGGATGGAAGTGGAAGTGGTGCGGAAGACGTTCGTGGATCTTTGGGACAACAAGTGACACCGCCAGCTTGCCGCCAGCTTGGCTGGTGGAGTTTGCTCACTTTTGGGGGTGGTTTTGAGAGTATTCTGAGAACAAAGGCAAAGCCGTGACCGACAAAACTCCTTGTTTTTTTAGAGTTTTGATGCCAAGCAACAGTTGTGAATCGAGTTGTGTTACTGTGATTTGGATTGCTTCCCATCAACAGTGACTGTGAGACCAAAAACGAGTGAAATAGATTCAACAATTCGGAAGCGAAAAGGATGGAGATTCAGCTGTTGATTGCCCCACCTTACCAGGAATGCCGTTTTTTCAATACGCTCGTCGTACACGTACGGAATATAATGAAATCTACGAAAAAGAGCTCAAAGAGCACCTACGACGTGTAACACTTCCCTTCCTTGTAGCAAGGACGCTATTAGCAGCTCCTGGCCTTACTACTAGGAGCGATCGGACGCTACCAGTAAGGGGGCTCGGCATTCGCGACCGAACCACGTTCGATGACGCGTCCGATGACGCTCTTACGTCGACGACCGAAGGCGGATGGCACCGACTTGGGTCTCAATGTGTCGCACAACATGGAGGTCGGGTCTGGGTGGGGAGGTCTGAGAGATCAGCAGCTGGCCCGCTACCAGTAATGGACCTAGGGCATCGCTACCAGTAACAAGTGCGTCGCTAGTAGCAAGAAGCTACTAGAAACTAGGGCCTAGGGCCAAAAATGTTTTTCCTGTTAGTAGTAATGCAGCAGGGATGCATTTCTTACTAGAAGCTACTAGTAACAAGTGTTTGCACCAAGGGCTAGGACCAAGTGGGTGAGGAAACGTCGGCGGTTCACCAGCCCTGCTGGTTCGGTGGCAACATAGATGGTCAAGAGGTCCTTTGCCGTTTTTAGCCGCTCTGTCCCCACCTTATTTGTGACTGTGACCCTTCATTTGCCTGTGTCCCCTGCGGCTCCAGCCAAATGAGGCTGTGTACCAGGGACACTTGTACAAGGGTGGTCCTTCTTTTTTCATGTTGTTTTCCCTGGTCTTGAACTCCCTGCCTGGCACTTCATCTTTTGGTAGAGATCGAAACACCCTCAGGAAAGAGAAACAGCACCAAAGTCACTCCAAGGGCCGGAACTTTGTGTAGAACTAGGCTGCCGAAGGACTTTGACATCACTATTGATATAGCTTGACCCACAAAAAGGGTCAAAAGGACTTTCGGTCACCCATGGGCACGGCATTGAGAACAGTTGAGATCTGGACCACCAATGTCCACAAGGAGCAAAGGACCCTCCAACGGGATAGAGACAGAAATAAGTCAGCCATTTCACCAACAACTTACTGATGTCGTTCCCCCTCGTGCCCCCTACTGGACGTTCTGAGTTTTGGTGAAACAGACTCTTTGAGGGCTCGAGATCTGTTACACAGTGACAGGGTCGTGACTCATGAGGCCGTGCAAACACCCGAGGCTCTTGGCCAGTCACCCGAGTCGTCTCACTGGAAAACCACACGCAGCGCCCGAGGATCGCTGCTTATGCGTGGAGAGCATCCGTGAGGGCGGCGCCATTGAAGCTTGGAATCGTCAGTGCGGCCTAGGCGGGAGATCCGCAATGGAGGAAGCAGGGCTTTTTTTTGCCGAATGCGTAGCGAAGAGTTCTCGTTTAATGTGGGGGCTGGGGGGTAGTCGCGATTTGGATGGAAGCATGACCTGGCAGATTCGTGTGAAATAGCGTGGAAACGTGTGGGTAACATGTTGAAGTGTGGAGGATGATTTGCTGCGCAGGTGCGGCCTTTTGTGAGATCCTCAGTTTCCTTCGCAATCAGATTGGGATTGCCGTTTAGAGGGCTGTGTTTTTGAGATGTTGGATGTGGCTGTGGCTAGGATTTGCATTTCAGGCTGTCGCGTCAAAGCTGTGTTTTCGTGACAAGTCTCAGCGGCGAGCTTGGTGGATGGGAGTGTGCTCAGAACGCATCCAAATCATTCCAAGCGCGTAGCCTGGTGCAAATTCTGCTGAAGACATGAACATGATTGACCATTTCATATCGTCACTTTTCGTGGCAGGCGCAGTCCTTTGTACGCGTTGGAGGTGTCGAAGTTGAGTTTTCGCGGCAGGCGCAGGGAATCGTGAAGTTGCGATGTTTGGTGGAGGTGAATGTCGCTGTGACATTGGGATTGGTGTGTCGGCGGCTGTGGCTTTTCAGATGCTTGGAATGTGAAACTGCGCAGGGCTGCAGACTGTGTTGTCTCTGATGTTTTGAAGAGACTCTGACCTGCGACCTTTGCAGTCTTGTACGAAGTGCTCGTTTTGCCGTGTGGCTTTTGGAAGTCTCTGACGAAGCGCTCGAGTTGGAGACTTGACAAATGTTTTTAATTGGAGGAGGGAAGAGTGACACACAAGAGTGTCCCACCAGAGTGTCCCACGAGAGAGTCCCACAAGAGTGTCCCGCAAGAGTGTCCCACAAGAGTGTCGCACGAGGGTGTTCCAAATGAGTGTTCTACAAGAGTGTCTCCTACAAGAGTGTCAAAAAATGTTTGGCCGTGTCTTTTCGAGTGCGTGTGTGCGTTCGGGTTCGTGGGTTCCATCTTGTTTTTTGTTTCGACCCCTTTTCGAAGCCGTTCGACTCATCGCCTGGACCAAAGACCAGCATCCGAGGGTACATCATGAGGATGTGAGTTCATGCTTCGATGTGCATTTTCACTTTAGATCACACCCAAGTCGAGGAGACTGCAAACAATGCATGCCAGGCACGAGTTCCCAAGCAGTCTCCCCAAAATCCGATGCCTCTCCTAGGGTCCTCAATCAAAAATGGGCGCAGGGAACGTGGTGCCAAAAAACATGAAAAAACGTAGCATCCTTGCTCCTAGCATATTATCCGGCACTTAAGGAGATTTGAGGAGCTTGAAGTTCCACTCCGATGCCCATCCATCGAGCACTACACACCTTTGAGGCACTTCTCATAGGAACTCGATCATGTAGCCAACAGTGTAGCTAACAGGTTCTTTAGTAGAAATTAGTAGAAAAATATTCCATGTTGTCGTGTGTTGTCCGAGTTCGGCTTTCACTTGACATGACCCATTTTCCCATCAATCAACGCAGCCGTGTGCCCCAAAGTCTTAGAGATTGGCTTGACAAGGTGGAGGTTTCATATTTAGATGACATGAATTAATGATATTTAATTTGTTCAGTGATACTGATACTTGATCTTTGGAAGAATCTCATGCCAGCAGTCACAAGAAGGGGTGCTATCCATGGAGGAAGTCGGGGTGCTCAGCTACTCCACTCACGTAAGGGGACGTTTCACACCACCCCGACATGTGACTGCTGGTGTGAGTTTCCTTCATGTCCTGGTTTCCTCCCACTTCCAGCACTTCATGCCGCCGAAAGCGGCGGCGTCAGGCACGCCCTTCGCTGAGAAGGCGGTCTTTCACGGTGCCCCTCGGACCGGATGACCAAAACGGAGCGTGGAAACCGATGGGACGGAGAGGCTTCAAAGAGAGCGCCATGGATTTTGGGGGGGACATGTCACAGTTTTTTTTTCATGGATGTTTTTTTTCAGAATGTGTTTTTTCCAGTGGTTTCTTCTTGTTTTTTGGTCAGGCGTCGAGGTTTCAATCGTGGTTTGACCGGATGCTTGGAGCTAGAGCTACATGCGTGGCTTTGTTTTTGTCCACTCCAGATGCTTAAAAGCCCTTGGGTTCAGTTCCCCGTGGTCCGGGACTTTCAAGCAGATCGGCAGAAAGAGACCAAGCGAAGACGTTGTTCGTTGCACCCAGAGATGGCCGTGGGGACGGTGGCCACGTCTCACCGCACCGGGTCCTCGGGCCGACCAACGGGAAAAACCCGAGGAAGCGACCGACCTCGGAACGCATCACAGGCAAAAAACCGTGGCATGGCCAATGCATGGCCCCAAAAGGAAAACCCGTGTTGTCTTCTCTAAAAATCAGGGGTGGAAGTCCCCTTCCATTGTGAGTTCCGAGATTTTGATGTGGTTTGGACCCGAAACAGCTACTACAATGTAGCAGCTACATGTGGGGCTTGTCTCTCCACAACCCTAGGTTGTGAAGGTCAAAACGGAAGTGAGGGTCCAGACTCTGAGCCTTTGGGTGGAGTCCAACCTATTAGGGATGGCCTCCAACCTAGTCCAGGTTCTGTGGTGGATTCCTCCAACCTGGATGGTCTATCTTCGGAGAACACATCGGTGCTCTCTCCCACCTAGACCTACTCGGGCTTTTGGAGCGAAGTGGTCTGGACCTGGTCTTCTCGACTCTGTGGACTCCTTGACATCGAAGAATTGGACCTTTGTGTTTCGCTCCCAAAAGACTCCGCTCCAGAGATGGAGCCCAAAGGCCTCCATCACTGGAACATCACTTCATCCCAAAGCATCATCACTTCAATCATCAACCCTTCCTGTAATTCACCACAGCCTCAAGCGAAGGTGGTGCTAGCTCTCGCCTTCCATCATATTCCATCCATTTTGCGCAGAGCCGCCACCACGCTCCGAGGATAAGATCATCAGTGTGAACCACGTGTGCTATGATCCCAACGCCATGCTACAGGACCCGGGCCACCACCACGCCACCAGACGAGCTGCTCGGGGTTAACTCAAAGGTTGACCTGCTAGAGGTCCCCATGGTGTGCGGTCTCCACCATCATTTTGCTGGCTCTTTGGCAGGACGCCCATGACTTGTCCAGAACGGGGAAACCATGGGACAAGCATGTGGGCTGTCAGTCTCCTGGGTCACTCTGAGTGCTGTGCGCTGGGCATACGCCACGCGTGTTGCCACGCGAGTTGCCACGAGCTTCCAGGAATGCCGGGACAAACAACTTTTGAAGCTGACCATTGCGCGTGGCAATGTGCCCCTCCCAGCCCCGCCTCAGGCATGTGTGTGGTGGGGGGGTGAGGAACCTCGATGGACCTCGCGAATGGAGGGATGGGGGACATCGATAGGGGACGGCACAAGATGTTTGGACCCGGACAACGAGAAGCAACGAGAAGGGCATCGCTACTAGAAACAAGGGCATTACTAGATGCCAAGAACCTGATTGACCCCTGTTTTGGAGCCAAAACATGGTCTTTTCCTATCAAAACAGAGGTCACATGGGTTCTAGATGGATCGAAGTGGGCAAGATATTTCACGAGATGTTTCTGTACCATTCTTAGAGTTGGTAAGTACCGCTGCGACGTTTCTGGTTGTTCGAAGTTCAGTGCCGGAGAGATGTCGCATGTGGGCCAAGTCTTAAGAATTCCCCGATAGATAATGGGGGAAGTTTGTATGTTTGGATGAAAGGGTAGCAGTTTTGGGAATTGCATCCAAGAGAATCATACAACAGGGGTACAAAATCCTCATGCATCTAGGACATCTGGTGTTTTTCAATTGGGGTGTCGGACGTGTCCTTTTTGATGGAAAGTGCGCAGCGAAATGGCCCCCGCAAAACAGATACTCTGAGACTCCACTCATAGATACAAAAAACCAACACATCGCTCGACATCGACGGTCACGTCACAAATCCCAAAAGCGTAACGAGTTTGCCGCCGCGCCAAACGCGCGTGGCGTGGCGTGGCCAAGCGACGACACGTGGCGAGTGTCGTGTCTCACGTGTCTCACGGTCCACGCGCTCCACGCCAGGAGCTTCGCGCTGAGGCGTCCGAGTTTGTGCGCCGGACGCGAACTCGGAGGGTCCAGCGGACGCGGAACACGGCCCGGCCGTTGGCTCCTGGCATCGCTACTAGGACCAGGAGCAAGGACGCTACTACGGGCTCCTGGCATCGCTACTAGTAACAAAAAAACTACTAGTAACAAGAAGCTACTAGTAGCAAGGTGCATCGCTACTAGGAACAAGTGCATCGCGACTTGTAGCAAGAAGCTACTAGTAACAAGAAGCTGGTTGGGCCGGAGCAAGGTCACTTCGTGGCGGGTCCACCCTTCGGGATTTGGTCGGAGGACAGCAGCCCCGGAGCCAGATCGGTACTGGTTCCAGACCCCCCCAAAAAAAGAACAATGTCGTAGTACCCTTTTTACTAGTCTAGTAGCTTCCTGTTCCTCGTAGTGCCAGGAGCACCCCGTTCGTAGCCTCTTGCTCCGTTCGTAGCAATGTATTCCAGCCGAATCTTTGGCTCAAGGCTGTGTAGAATCCACGAGAAGCGTCCAACTCTGTGAAGCAGAGAGAGGATCGGTCTCTTTGCGGTTCAGAACGATGGAATCCCAGCAGGATCCTCAGGTCGCAGAGCTTTCAGAGGAGGAAAAAAACTTTCTGGTTTGTGGCATTGCTTTGGCCCTTCTGGCACTTGGGGCAACCCTTCGCGCTATGAGGCAGGCCCACTGGTCGCACCTCTCGCTGGCCTTTTGGAAGTGCTATGAGCGGCTGAATCCTTTCAGAAACAAAGGAGACGAGGATTTGAGATGGAAGAGATATTTGCACCAAGAGGTTTGTGTGCAAAAGGTTATCTTGGCACGAATCTACGTGCGCTTCGCCACCTGCGTGCTGGTCTTTGGAACACTGGTCCGAGTCTATAGGATTTTGACGAGACAACCTGAGTGGATGAGCTCAGAGGGGACTTGGTTTGGGCTCATTGTGGGTTTGTTGTCCCTTTTGATGACCATAGCGCCACATTCCATCCAGCTGTGCACTTTGAATCTGACTTGCATCGTTTGGTCTTTGGTGTCAGGGTTTTTCCTGTCCTCATGGGCAATCCCAGTGGAAGAGCTGCTGGTGATGGAAGTCTTGATCTTTGTGACCATTGGCATTCCACTTTGTACTTTCGCCAAGCATTACATGGTGGTCCTCCTTTGTCAGGGAGGAATCATGGCACTTGTGCTCGCCCGCGCGGTGATGGAGGACCTTCAAAGCCGAACTCAGAGCCCTGGCCAAAAGTTTTCTTCCCCTTTTCCCGTTTCGTAAGGAGGGTCGAGATGTGTAGAGACCTCGATGTGATTTCGTTGGGGGGGTCATTTTCGAACTCAAGGATGTCAAATCAAAATCCAGTGGTGATCTTCAACGTGTTCTTCCTTGGCTATGCTTTGTTGGTGCATTTCCTCTCGAACTCCTTCCTGGAGCAGACGGTGGCACTCGGCGTCCGTGAAGCGGACAGCAAAACCCAACAAAATGCGACCTCCTCCCTGTTAGAGCTCACTTGCGATGCTGGGAAGATCAATGATCTGTTTTCTCATATATATATATATATCCGGTAGTATATGGTACCCCACATCACATCAGTGGTTGCTTATGATTACATGCATGTATATGCACATCATGTACTCTAGAAGGACAGATTCATCTGGATTAATCATACTTAATGTAAAAGACAAGTGTTTCCTCAGCCTTGTTTGGAAGCACAAATCAATCTGAATCTGTCAGGAGTCAAAATGCAAAACAAAAAGGGTACAATAAAAGGAAAAACAAAAAAAACTATGAATGGGCAACTAGTCCAGAGATCAGACTAGTTGTGGAATCATGTTTTTGTATTATGGTTAATCTTCGAGGTTTTGGTTTGATCCTGGAATAATCCTGATTAATAGCATTCTACTTCATAACTCCGGCATTTAGTTCCCGCCGGTTTGTTCCCAAATTGAGAGACTTGGGCATGGTTTAGTTCCATTTTAGTTTTCAATTGAATTCAAATTTAATGCTAGTGTCATTGTTTTTTAGATGTCGGTTTCCTTAAATTCTATTTCAATGTGTTTTCTAATTCAATTCGTTTGGAGTTCTAAGTTAAACCATTCTAATTCAATTCTAATAAAATCTAATTGAACTCTAATTCAGTTCTGATTTAATTCTGATTTATGTCTAAGGTCATTTATTTCTATAGCTGAAATAAAGTTCAAGTCTAACTCAATTCTAATTTAAATATGTGTTTTTCAATTTTAGCGTATGGTTTTTTGAACCAAAGTTTAATTGAAAATAACAAAATAAACGGTCAACGTCAATTCTCGGCTAAGTCTAATTTAATACTAAATTGAATCCAACTAAATATTAATTCAATGTTACTTTGTTTATCTAACTTAAATAGTGTAATACATAAATTTAAATAATGTAATTTAGATTTAACCTTTGTTTAATTCCAATTCAAGTCAGTTCTATTTTAAGTCTAATTTAATTCTAATTATTACTATGTTAAAGCTAATGCAGTTTTTTTGTTTGAATTTGGTGAGCAGTGAGCAGGAATGAATGAGCCAACGTTTAATCTATTCTTGGCTGGTTGTATTTATTCCAATTCACTATGAATTAGTTATGTGTTTATTCCAATTTAGCTGTAATTAATGTCTAGTTTATTGTATATAAATGTAAACCTTATGCAATTCAAAATTCAAGCTGTCCAATTAAAACATGTCTATTCTAATTCCAATTCAATGCAAATGTCTTTCAAATTCAATGCAAATTGAATTCTAATGGAATTATAATTTCATTCTAGAGAGCGTGTGTTGCTGGGGGTGTGAACTTAAGAAACCAAACACTTATATATAGAAAATAGTATATAAGCTTTCATTGTAAAAGCAACACCCACTCTCTAGAAGTAAATTGGAATTGTAGGAAACTAAAGTTATATTGGAAAATACAATTGCATTAGAATCGATTCTGAATTGCATATATTGTTTATGACGATCGAAAATAAAAATGAATTAGGATTAGGTTTGCATTGAATCCCAATTGCATTAGACTTTATATTCAATATTATGAGAATCAAAGTAGAACTAGATCTTAACTGAAATAGAATTAAAGTAGAACTATGTTAAAGTTGAATTAAATAGATTTGAGTTGGAACTCAATTAGAATTGAGTTAGAATTTGGTCATTTAGGATTTGCAGTTCGTTGCCTTCTGACTCTGATGTACTTACTATGTTTTCTTAAGATTGCTATTGAACATTCCTTTGCATAAACTGTTGCTTCTGTCTTATATATTCATTTTGCAACATCTGGTAGTGATGTGCTAGACCCTTCAATGGGTTTACTGGCGCCATGGGTCTAGCTGAATCTTTTTGGCGCCTGATTCATTGTTGGTGTTTGCATCCATGGAAACAATTCTCTTGGTGCACCTTCTTCTTCTTCTTCTTCTTCTTTAATGGGTTGAACTGTTGCTTTGGTGTAGCCTTTGCTTTTAGTTTTGCTGGTTTGCTTTCAATTGCTCCTATGCAAGTCATTTTCTGTTTATAATTGTAAGGGCTTCGCCCGGGTGCCGCCGACCCCCTTTCGGGAGGAGTGTAGCACGTGCAACTGAAGGCGTGCCGGTGGCGGCTCGACGGAAGAGAGGAGACGGAAGATGGGCGTGGACGGGGGTGAGGAGGAGAGGAGGGAGGGGTACGATGTGGGGCGAATGCCCGTCGGTGGACGGAAGATGGGCGTTCTACTCTCACGAACCCGAAGGTAGGGAATGCAAGTACTATGCACGGCCGTGGTGGGCTGGGGTGCTGCAGGGGCAGTGGAGGTGGCATGACTCGATGAATTTGGACGTGAGGGATTCCAATGGCCATCTGGCCAAAACAGGACAACGCACGCGGATCGGCGACCGTTTGTGAGGGCCTGGCCT